GCGTTTACCATAAGGGCTCGGAGAGTTCCAGAAAGAACAATGCACAACATAAGCAGAGGTCCAGGAGGGAGAAGGAGCTAGAAGCACTACTCTTTTGAGCTCTAGCACGGCTCTGCCACAGTGAACCAGCAGAGTAAAACTGCATGAAGTGGGAAGATCGGAAGGGACTGAGATCGTACAGGGCTTTGTAGGACTACTTAGAAACGTTCTGAACCTTAAAGATAGGGAAGCCACAGTGCTTTGAGAGAAACCTTGGCATTAATCTTATCGACTCCAACAGTACATTTTCAGTATGTACTATGATTGGTCAGCTCTACAGAAAACTGCTAACTCAACAGGATCTCACAGTACCTCATATTTTCTAGAGTAACTTTTCCCCATCTCATCATAGAATGTGTTGAATGTGACGCATGGGCCGGGCAATACGCTGTGTGTCCTTGCCTCATTTTTCCACAGGAAGCTCAGTGAGCTAAAAAGTAACAATTGCTCCAGGAAGAAGACACATGCAAATACAGGGCATTCCCTAAAATTACAATGACATGAAGTTCAAATTCCACTCTTGCAATCCTAACTCATCACAAAAATTTACCAGTTCAGACAGGCTCTGTTAAGGGCCCCCAAGTTCATTCATTTCATAGATAATTATTAGTGCCTACTACGTTGAAGGCACTATCATAGAGCTAAGGATATGGCAATAAACTAAACAAACATTTCTAGTAGAAGACAGGGATTATCAGTGACCTATCATCTGAGCTATGATTGCAAGGGTATCAAGGTACGACTGATCTCTGGATTCAAGTTCAGTAGTCTACCCTGGTCCTTAGATGCTCAACTAGGCAAAAACTGTGTACACATGGATTCTGGTTTTGTTGGGGGGGGGGGGGCGGGTTTGTAGGGAAAGATTCACCCTGAGCTAACATCATTGCCAATCATCTTCTTTTTTTTCCCTCCCCAAAGCCCCAGTGCATGGCTGTATATCTAGTTGTAAGTCCTTCTAGTTCTATATGAGCTGCTGCCACAGCATGGCAACTCACAGATGGGTGGTATGGCTCTGCAACAGCCCACCGAAGTGGTGACAGCGCTGAACTTTAACCACTAGGCCATCAGGGCTGGCTTGAGATTCTGTTACTTTTTAATATACTTCAAATACTAAGGCGATTTGTATATTAAATAATGAAAATTCCTATTTAATATAAATTTTAAGTTTAAATGAGTACAACAGCATTAAAAAAGAAGAAAAAATTTCATTTTCCTTCCTCTTTGTTCTATCAGCTTCCACTGATGCTCTGCCAGAGAGTCACTGAGCTACCAGTTGTCCAGGCTGATGCTATGCTTCTAGGTAGACATTCGCCAGATGATTTCCTGCCTGTCATAAGAAATGAACTTTTGGGGAGGTGTAGCTGTTAGGAAGTGGTTTCTGTATCCACTACCTCCACTGCCTCTCGAATCACTGAGCCAGCCTGCTTTCACTGCTGACCAAATCCAGCACTAGGTTTACATATCTTATGAATGATTCCAGACCTATAAAAAGAAACACTAAGTGCTTGGCTGGGAAGCCACTATCTGAAACAACATCTTACCAATATGTCTGCTTAATGGGAAAAGATGACCAGGAGAGCAAATGCTGCAATGGCAAAGGAAACACAAAATACTAAATTGTGGCTTCCTTTCTCACAACAACACAGACTTGTTGCAAATTGGCTAGGCTAGGCTAGATTAATGGGACCACAAAGATGACAGAAATACAGATTTTAAATTCTGCTCTCTATGCATATTGAGCAGTATTTAAGAATTTGGTTGAACTGTTTGGCAAATATAATTCTAAAAAAAAATCACTGAAAAACTTATAATTATCTGATTTATCCTTTTTTTCTATTTTTTTGAGGAGGATTAGCCCTGAGCTAACATCCATGTCCATCTTCCTCTCCCTTGTATGTGGGACATCTGCCACAGCATGGCTTGACAAGTGGTGCATAGGTCTGCACCTGGGATCTCAACCGGCGAACCCCAGGCTGCTGAAGTGGAATGTGCAAACTTAACTGTTACACCACCAGGTGGCCCCTGATTATCATTTTTTAATGATTAAAGTGGAATGAATGAGCATTTCATATTCTGAAGCAAATTTGAAATATACTTTAGGGGCCAGCCCTGTGGTGTAGTGGTTAAGTTTGTTGCGCTCTGCTTCAGCAGCCCAGGTTCAGTTCCCGGGTGTGGACATATACCGCTTGTTGGCAGCCATGCTGTGGCAGTGACCCACATACAAAATAGAGGAAGACTGGCACAGATGTTAGCTCACGGTGAATCTTCCTCAACAAAAAAGGAAAAACAACAACAAAAACTATGTAAAAAAATAAAATAAAATAAAAATAAAAATAAAATAAAATACACTTTGGGAGAAGGAACAAGTAGTGAGTTATGTTCAAGCAACAAAAGATGAAACCAAACTCTGTGTTCGTGTATGAACCTGAGAATCATAATATTAGAGAAAAAAATCCCTGAAGAATATATATGGCATGATTTCATTTATATAAAGCTCAAAATCATGCTAAGCTAACAGATTATTTAAGCAAGAAAATAATAAAAAAACAAGATTCAGAAGAGGGATTACCAAAGGTAGGGTATGTAGGGAATGTGGCTGAAGTCATGTGGGAGCTTCTTGAGTACTGATCATGTTCTGTTTCTTAACTTAGATGATGGATACACGAGAATCGACTTATTACTGTTGTTAAAGCTACACACACACACACACACATATATGCATGTATACATATATGGCCTTTATTTAAAACTATGTTGATACTTAAATGTATAATCATGCTTTTTATTTAATGAATAACATTCTTAACATGACAATATCTCACTTCACATCCTATAGTCAAAATACAAATGTTACTCAGTTTTTGCCTCACTTTATTTACTTGTGAAGTAAAAATATTTCTCCTGGCTAGAGTAATGAAAAATATTTTTTTGAATAAATGGTACTTTGTATAGACGCTGGAACCTTGTTCTATTATTACCTTTAGGATGCGTGTCTCAAAAGTGACACCACATCTATATATATATTTTACCACTCTAGCAAGTAGGTGCCCTAAGATTAGGAAGGAGCCCGGGCTAATACTAAATTACCTAAAGTTACCTAAATTGTCTCTATAGAGATAATGTTATAGCAAAGTCTTCATACAACTAAAGTTAATACCTATTGCAGTGAAATAACTAAAACTTCTGTTTTTCATTTAAGGATCTTGCCTATTTTCTTAGTGGACTTCAAGTGGCTATGAATAAACTTCAGTATCCCTCCATCCATTACCTTATCCATTTATCCAACAAAAAGTTATCAGGTGCCCCCTCTGTGTCTTACATTATACTCGGTGTGTTTAGTATTGTTATTTCAAACCAGCAAAAACTGAACCCCTGCAGTGCTGTCCTTCTCTGTGTCTAGAGATATGACCACTGGGTGGGAAGAAGAAACAAGAGAATATTCAACTTGTGATTTTTTCCATAACCATAGACGACACTCTTATTTACATGAAATTTCTCCCCTTTGGAAAAAGCCTCATATGACAGTATTTTTGGACAATAAGTTACATTGTTACTTATATTTATATTAACATAATAACCTTAAATAATTCTAGTTGATATCTGAATTATTGTTTCAAAATATGAGAAATTCATTGTGTAAAGCATAAAAATATTATTTAACCCAATGAGTTTTGGAAAGAGTAGTAAACGTTTGAGATGAAAATAAATGTATAGATTGTGCTGAATAAAATTTAATGGAAATATGTATGATTTTTTTAAAAATCTGAATTCAAGGGCAAAGAAGAGATGTCACTGCACACTTCTTTAAATGAAACATGGACCCAGAAGAGTCACTCTCTGGGAGTTTCATAATAGTTTTAAATTGTCCAGTGATTAATTCTGAGTACCACTGGAACACACATTTCTATTGTCTTCCATTATATATAGTCTACCATCAACTTATGTCACCACAGTTCAATTTACGTAATAGAGTTACATAATAGATAACTGAACAATATATAATATAGATGTAATTTAGAAAGAGACAGGAAATTTAATGTCAACTTTTCAAATTCCCTTATTTTATTGATAAGGAAAATGAAACCCAAGTTTTCTCAGCTAGTTGGGGCAGAGCCCCCACCCAGGCCAGGACTCCTGATTTCCAGTACAGTTCTATTTCCTTTAAAACAGGGACCCACTGCAAAGGATGAATAAATTCAATGACATCTTTTGAAGAGACCACATATTGTAAATTAGAACAAGAAGGAACATTCGTTGTTCCTCCTCACTCCTTTCAAGAGTCAGGAGGAATGAGGTGTGATTGACCAATACCAACATAGCATCACTGAGGACCCACTCTTTCCAGGAAAAAGGAGCACTTCGTGTGCAGCATCCAAATACTCAGCGGAAACTCAGATTCATGCTTGGTGGTTGGTTGATGTTTAACACAGGTGACGACTGTACGCACACGCATGCGTGCGTGCACACACACACGCATGCACGCGTGCACACACACACACACACACACAGAGTTGCTCCATAATGAAACTCTAGGTTTTCCTAGAGAGCCTTGTCTGGAAAACACATAACCAGAGAGAGGATCTCCTGTGAATACTGGACGGTGCTTGGGAAACAGATCTTTTACATGGTTTGTGGCTGTCTTCCCACCATCCTTGGCGCTGATCAACATGCCACGTAAGGCCCAACTAACACATAAGGAGGCTTAAAAACAGTTTGAAGCTTTACCAAGTTCTTAACCGAAGAGAATAGGTCCTCTGTGATTGAAGTTCATCTAAGGAAGAAAACTGGTTACCAATGGCTTCAGTATAATAGCCCAGGGCTTATTTTTTCCTCCTTAGTTTCTGAGAGAACATGCATTTTCCAGTAAGGTTCTTTGGTTCATCCATCCTTCTTTCTTTCTCTCCTTCCTTCCTTCCTTCCTTCTTCCCTCCCTTGCCCCCACCCTTGTTTTTTCCTTCCAGCTTTCTCTTCCACTCATGCCTTCACTAAGAGAGTGAACCTGCTACACACTCCAGCCACGAAATAAGAACCACTCAAGAGTCCCTCCCTCACGACCATCACCCCTAACTTCCCATACTCTTGGTGAATCCAGTTCAAGTGGTTCCAAGTGAGAAGTCACAACTACCAGGCCCCTGATGGCTGTGCCATCTTTCAAATGGGCTTTGCCCAAGGATCCGCAGCTATGCAGTGCTTTCAAAATAATGTGCCAAAACTAAGGCTCTGGCAGATTCCATTTAGTTACATTCTCCTTAAGAAAAACTAAATGACTGATGTTTGACAAAGAGCATTCTGCATGGTCTAGGTAAGCAATTATTCACCAAAGAATGCTAAAACCAGGGCAAAGTGCCTTTTCAGCAGCTGAAGAATTTGCGGTTTTACTTGCCTCTGAAAGTCGAAGGGAATAAAAATCAGGAAGATGGCTCCTCAGACAAGCAGCCTCACTTTATCACAGAAGAGAGCTCTGGCTTCCTGGTAGAATATGAAGCCAATATCCCTTCTTTCTGCCTTCACATCCCCACGGAATACAGTTAAGTATATACATTAGGTGGTTTGGCCAAAGGAAATCCTTTAGGCAGCTGCCAAATTGAGTGTTCCTGAACCCCCAGGGATAAACAGCAGCACTGTCTGGGCCTCACTCCAGAGATTCTGATGGAGCAGGCCTGGGGCGAAGCTCAGAAATCTGCATTTTAAATAAGGGTCCTAGGTGATTCTAACCTGCGAGTCACTGTGACAAACCCACCGTGAGGAAGTTGCATGGAATTCCCATTTCAAAAATACAGACAGGAGGAGAATTTGCTTTGGGCAAGATGATGTATCAGGAATTCAATCTGCCCTTCCATTTGAAACAACCAAAAAAAGAAAAAACTGACAAAACATATGAAAACCACGATTCTCAAGACCCTGGGCATTATGCAAGGAAGGATGATGATCCTTGAGAGATGGTGTATCCGGTGATTGTCCAGTTCACTGTCTTGAGTCTCCAGTCCACGGAGCAGGGAGGGGTAATCTGGGTGGATCACAGTGACTGTCTGAGTTGAGAAGACAGAACTCAGGGTCCAAAGAGAAGACCAAAGAGGATGGAGGTGGCAGCACAGAGTGTGGGAAGTAGAGCCTGCAGAGAGAACCCTGGCCATGTGCCGGGCTCCCCCGAGTCTTCAGCTGAGCGCTACTGGTACATGTGTGTGAGAAACCGGACGTCAGCCATCAGAAAGGAGGAGGGGAACAGAGTCCTGGGCTCACAGAGGGCCAGGAACAACACCTGGTCTCATCGACCAGACTGGAAAACCTCAAAATTCACAGACATCGGCGAGTGGACTCAGAAGGGTCTTGCCTCAGTAGCAGAGAATAATTAGTCCTGGATCAAATGCTGCTCTGGTCCTAATAAGTCTTAAAAGAAAGCCCCAAAAGCATCAAACTGATTTTAAGTAACTTAACTGAGTCATCTGTAGGAATACAAAGTGGTGAGTCTTGCTATGAACCCAATAACTCACATGGTCAAATTGGGATCTGAATGATTTTATTTTACTTTCATACCTAGCTTTTAAATTACTGTGTACCTTTTTTTCCTTAAAAATTGTATTTATCAAAAACAATGTTTAAATTTTCTATTAATAGTCAAGTTTGTCTCTGGACAGTTTAATGGCTACCTAAGTGCAATTCGAATGCACTGTAGTTTCAGCATGCAGCACACAGTATTCTCCATTAGGGGGTTCTGTAAGACTAAGACATGTGATACTCTTGTGCTCTTTAAAAATAGATTGTAACAGAACGTGCTAGCAGCCTGTTTCATCTCTTTCACCTAAAGTGTCTCTGAGCACTAGAAAAAATAATTCTGAAACAAATGAATCCTGGCACAGAACAAACCACCTCTCTCAGTATCACTTCCCTTCCATTCATTTCAATAAACATGCGCTGAGTGCAGTAAACTGTCAGTCACCATTCCCGGCTTCAGGGATCCAGAGATGGGTAGGGCCAGGCCCCAACCAATAAGTGAAAGTTTACATATGACCCCAAAATGATTACACACACACACATGCACACACTCACCATACACAAAACTCACTTTTATAAAATGACATTCAATTGCATCTAGGGCTATTGCAGGAAAAGAATTTGAAAACTAAGTTGGGGATTGGGTATACAAGGGGAACCTGTTAAAGATATGATCTTTTCATTATTGCCCATTTTAAAGGATAATAAATCTTCTTAGCATGGACTACTGAATTTAAGTCAAAAAATATTTTTAGAACAAAGTTATTTTTCAAAAGCAAAAAATTAGGTTTTTTAATATATCAAGGCTTAAATGCTTTCACATCTTTCTTGAGCTTTAGATTTGAGGAGATAATTACCAATAAGAGACAGGCAACCAGGAGTGGAAGGAGAAAGAGAGGGACACAGAGAGTGTGCGTGGGGGTAGAGAAGGTGATGAATCCTCGTGGTCTGGTTTGAGTGCTTGGGTCCTGTCAGGCCCGATAGGCAAGGTCCACAGCAAAGCCATCCATGGGCGCCCGCTTTGTGGAAGCCAAGGCCCTGCGAGACTTTAGCTGGCTTCAGTTTGGTTTCTGGCATTTGCAACACAAAATAAAGTCCTTCATTCTTCAGCGGGACTGATGGACAACTGCATATTTTAAATTGTGAGCTAGAAACAACTATTTAGAAAGAGTTATGGAATGAGATTACACAGAGTTTAGTATGACATAGTTTTACTGAGGTGACAATTTTTAGTAGAATGGAAAGATGCAAATAGGGTGAATAATTCAAGTCAAATCAGTTGATTACCAATTCATGTAAAGGGGGTTTCAGGCAGCGTGAGATAAGAATAGCAGCTAACACTTACCAGGGGCCAGGCACTGTTCCACATGTCCTAAACTTACTATCTTGTTCAGTCCTTACAGCCAACCCCCACATGAGGGCTATGTATTATTCCTGTGAGATGGGGAAATGGAGGCCCAGGTATATTAACTATCTTGCTCAAGGTCACAGAACTAATACACAAGGCAACAGAGATTATAATAAATGGCACTGTGGGGGGATACAGGAAGAACACTCTGGATTGGAACACAGGGATCATTTCAAAGACGAGTAGGGAGGAACATTACAGCAGTAACATGAGAAGGGTTGTGGAATACATAAATGCCAAGCTCCAGAAACAGAGACAGCTAAAAAGCAGCTTTGGCTCCCAGGGGAAACTAAGGACCAAGGAGGTTAGACTCCTGTTTTCTCTCTCCACCACTTCAGCTCTTTCTAAGTTAGGACCCACAAAGTGAATCCAGTTCACGTGCCAAGGGAATCATCATCACAGCGCCCACATGCTGAGTTCTCCCCATCTGCCAGGCACTGTAACTCACTCTGCCTACATTCTCTCACTGAATCCCCTCCACGTGAGCCCCGTCTCCACCCCATCAGGACATCATTTTCTTTTGTAGCCATTATCAATTGTAGTTAATTTATGTTTGTAATCCTGATTCCCCATTAGATTTTAAATTCCAAGAAGGAATTTGTGGACATGGCTCTGTCTTCAGCAGCTAACAGAGCTTGACATCTATGAGGCACAAAAAATATTGAATGAATGAATGAATGAATATTAACAATGAATGAATATATAATGAAGAAAAAAATATCAAAAACAGTTAACAGTGGTTATTTCATGACGCTGGATGATTTTTCTTCACTTACCTGAATGTTTCTGTACGTTACATATGGGCAATAATTTGCATGTATTCCTTTTTATGTATAAAAATATATAAAATAACAGACAAAAAGTCCTACAAATTTAGAAACCAACTTTCATTTATATGGGATAGTTTTCATTTTTTTTCTTGTAGATGGAGAATTAAACTGCTTTCAAAATTGGGTAATTACGAAATATGCCTCATTTATTCCAAAAGTTTCCTGAATTGGAAATCAGTATTTTGTGTGGAATTCCTCCTGGCAAAACTTGGGTCCTAAGGCTCGACTTCTCCATGGGGATCCCTGGATCCCTGAGCACCCTCTGGAAACATCACTCTCACATGACCCAGGAGCATCTGTGATGCCCAGGAGAAGAGGACTGGGCCCTGAGCAGGCCAGAAGGTGAAGATCAACGAATATTGAACCTTCATATGGGAGAGAGAAAAATGAGTCCGCTTTTTGTTTTTGCTGAGCAACTTCAAGCCACTGGAGAACATTTTCAGATATCGTTGTTTCCTCTCAAACAGACAGACAGACATCTTTCTAGTTACTCTTTCATTTTTCATATCCCTAAGAACTCATACTGCAACAACCATTTCCAAATTGTTTAGAAGAATTCTGCCATACTACCTTCAGGGAATATGCATTATTTCACACTATTTGATTTCATTTTTAATCTATAGGAATCGGAAATGGAAGCCAAACAATATTTTTCAGAAAGTTAACTATTTCAAGATCCCCTATTGACAAACTTTTTAAAAAAGAATTTGTTCTAACTTAAGTTGTCACCTAGCAACCATGACAAGCAGCTGCTTCAGCCATCACACCTATAAATACGCCCTGGCCCAGAGCCCTCACAGACTTTTCATTCTCGGCTAGTGACTAATGGTCTCATGCTCTCTGTTGGTGGCGAACATCTGTTGATGGTAACTCCTGCCGAATTTTTCTTAGAAAGGTCAGTCAGGAGTATCCAGTTACAGATTTTAACATTTCTTAGTGCAACGTGTTAGAATTTCTTTTAATCCTGTGGATACATAATCTGTTCTTCCGCATGTGTGCGTACCTGTGTGTGAGTGCGGGTAGGCCGAGAAACCAAATAAAAACAGGGGTATGTTTCTCTGCACAAACACACTCAGAATTAGAACCATGATGAAGCAACTAAGATATGTCAACTGGAGGATTAAATAAGCAAACACGAGATTAAGAAATTAAATAGCACTCCACTTGAAGGCTTCGCTTTCTCAGACCCATTAACCACTTGAGCAACTCCTCCCGGGATGGGGGACCAGGCGGCGCCATCTGCGTGTCGGCTGTTTCTGCCCCTGGAAGCTGAGCCTCCCCTCCCTCAGGGGAACTTGGCATTTTATCTGAGCTCTCCTTTTTATACCAAGTTTCAAACGAATTAGAGATCAGTCACTTTGTGAAACTGTCCCTTTCTCCCTTCCATCTCAAGCTCGCACCGCCACTTGGCTGGGTGCGTAGACCAACAATGATCCAATCCATGGAGATCATCTGGAAGCCTGGCACTAAACCATCATCATCTTCCTTCTTATGTCATTCTAGTTTCTATGAACAGATGCCAGTTAGAAGTTATTTTTCAGCATTTTCAATTTTAACTTTTCAACAACTAGACTTTCATAAGCCCAGGGCATGAACAATATAAATTCCATTAGCAGCTCAGAACAAGTACTTACTTGAGATGTGCAGGAGATTAACCACCCTTTCATTTGTGAATGCCAAGATTTGTTTTAATCACTATCCCTGAGGGAAGAAAAGGTTTCTACTTTATCCCTGAACGACAGATAACATCTGAGAGTCAAGAAACATTTCTCAAGGAAAACAGAAATGGTTACCATGAAGCAAGTTTGCTAATTTGGATAGAAGCCTTTCCTTGCATTCTGCTTGGGACCCACAACTTTTCATTAAGTATAATCCAGGATTTACTGTAGTTGAAGTCAAAAGTAAATGTCCTCTCCCTTTTTTTTTTTTTTTTACCTTTGGCCTAGTTATATGAAACCAAAACTTCTGTGACAATACTAAACAAAATATTTCTTACAGTGAAAAAATTTTCATTAATAATATAGTTCCTAATTTTGTTTTTTCAAGACTTTACCCATTGCATGGGGCCTAAACAGGAATATACAATCCAAACAGACAGAAGGATCAAGTTCCTCCAAAGTGCTTTTATTATGAAGGCCAATTCAAATTTTTTTTTTTTCTGCTTTGTCTCCCCAAATCCCCCCAGTACATAGTTGTATATTTTAGTTGTAGGTCCTTCTAGCTGTGGCACATGGGACATCGCCTCAACATGGCCTGATGATTGGTGCCATGTCTGTGCCCAGGATCTGAACTGGAGAAACCCTGACCGCCGAAGCAGAGTGAGCGAACTTAACCACTCAGCCATGGGGCTGGCCCCCTGGCCAATTCAAATTTTTAAAAAAATTTTTTTGGTGAGGAAGATTGGCCCTGAGTTAACATCTGTTGCCAATCTTCTTTTTTTTCTTCTCCCGAAAGCCCCAGTACATAGTTGTATATGCTAGTTGTCTCTCTAGTTCTTCTATGTCTGAGCTGCCACAGCACGGCTGGATGAGCAGTGTGTACATCTGCACCCAGGATCCGAATTGGCGAACCCTGGGCTGCTGAAGTGAAGAGTGTGAACTTAACCCACTCAGCCACAGGGCCAGCCCCCTCAAATTAAAATTTCGTTTGGAGAATTTGTTGTCAGTCTTTGGGATAATGGAAGTATCCTGGGATACAGCAACATGGAGTGATGACTATTAGTCATTGAGATATTCATTCAGAGGGCGGGACTGTTAAATTATAGGCCACATTCCCACCTTTGTCCTTTAAAGAGTACATCTCTCCTTTACCTTCATATATAAGCCGGACACTGAATGACATCAGTGGCTTTTAAAGGAACACACTCTTACCAAGAGGATCACTCTTTTTTTTTTTTTTTTAAAGATTGGCACCTGAGCTAACATCTGTTGCAAATCTTTTCTTTTCTTTTCTTTCTCTCTGAAGTTCCCCAGTACATAGTTGTACATTCTAGCTCTAGGCCCCTCTGGTTGTGCCATGTGGGACGCAACATCAGCGTGGCCTGATGAGCGGTGCCATGTCCGCGCCCAGGATCCGAACCGGCGAAATGCTGGACCACCGAAGCAGAGCACGTGAACTTAACCACTCGGCCACGGGGCCAGCCCCAGATCACTCTTATCAGTCGCAGAAAAATGAGAATCTCACTGAAATGTCTTAAGGCTTGCTAAACTTGCCATCAGCATCCTTCAAAAGCAAAATTTAAGAATAAGCTATTGTGTGAATATTGCAAGTATTCATGGTAAATTAGTACAATGAAATACTCAACAACAACATACAAGGAAGATGGGTATATATTTGGGGGTGCAGAGGGCATGCACTAGAGAGGGACGGTGAAAGTTGCCTCCTCAAGTGCTGTCAGAAATCTGGAAATCACTTTTGAGAGGCAAAGGGACGTGCGGAGGCAGGGTCTGCAGCGGTGGATACCATGGAGTGAGAACAAATTCCAAGGGAGAGGTCATTTAGGAAAATAAAATTATAAAAGTTAATTAACACAGCCTGCCTGATTTACAGAGAGTTTCTAAAGGAACGCATTTCCCCCCCTTTCTCATACACACAGAACAGCAATAAGAATCTGGCTAACAATGAACTGAAAAGGAGTTGTCCTTCAATGTATTTCCCATTACCCTAATAATAGTCATTGCGTCTTTTATACATGAAGATTTGAAAAGATCCTAAAAACACTTATCAAAAGGGTTCCTCTAACTCTTCATTTCCATTCACATTATTAATTTGTTCAGGAAACCTTATTCTTAAAAATTAGTATTGTCTTATGAACTATAATTCAGTGCAAATAAATGAGATGAATGATCCAGACTGAACCTTATTATGCCAGCGAGAGAGAGGCCTGCCCATCGACTCCGTCCTCCTTCATTTTCACCTGTTGCAGATATTCATCTCTGCCTCCGGAGGGCAAATTTCTGTTGGTGGGTTCAGGAGAATCTAAATGACTGCCACGAGTGCTTTATGTGTGGGGAACAGTGACAAGCTAGCACACTGGAGATCATTAAGTTTGCCCAATGTTCTAGCCATTGCTAGAAAGTCATCTTCAGTAAATCAGATACCTTAGGAAAGTGATGCGCATACTCACACAGCTACCTCGGGCACTATGCTATATCCATACCTCTTACTACCTCACTCCATGTCACTATTTCCGGATTTTCCAGTTGGTAAAATTTTAAATGCCTTCTTGTTTGTTATACACAGAGTTTACTATCATTCCATTTTCTTCTTATACTCTATAATTTAGTTACATGAAATAGACTTGATAAGATCCTCTAGTAAGGCAAAATACCTCTTTGATTAACCTCAATCGTTTACTTTTCCTATGTGAGAAGCATCCAAAACCACAAGGACAAAAGTACGGTGAAGTAGTATTTAACTGGGCCTGGACATTCCAAGGGTTGTCTCCACTCAGCTAAGCAGATCAATTAAATGGCGCTAAACATTTTATCTTGACCTACTTGGGAGCTCGTAGCCCTAAGTGAGAGCCATAAAGGTAATGAGTCTTCAGGCAACCAGCCACAGCCAAAATGGGACCCACAGAGCCAGACAGTCAAAGAAAACCACCTATTTTAAACAACACAGTGACTATTTTAAACAAACATGCAACAAAAGACAGAGATAGCCTTTCATTGGTGCGTTGAAAGACAGTCTATGCTTTAGAATTATATTCTGATCAGAACAGGATCTATCATGTACATTCTTCTCTTTTCTTTCCCAACTCATGCTACCACAATACATTTTCAAGAAATGGAAAAAAATGGCTCATTAAAATGTTGGGTTCTATAAAAGGTAATTGTTTTTAAAGAGAGATATATGCCACTGTTTCTCTTGTCATAAACAAAAGTCCTGTACCTTCTAATGTATGTAATGTTTAACAAAACTATCCAGATCCAACATGGTTTGGGTGATCTCTCTACATATCATAGCCAGCAGACACCTCAGATGCACCCCAGATGTATGATCAGATGCACTTAAAAATTAAGTTCACTTTGAATACGTAGCCAGCAAGACCAGGAATGAATCAACTCTGAATTGTTATGAATCAACTCTTTGGAATCCTAAGAGCAAATGAAATTAATGTTCTTTTAACAAATTATGCTCAAGAATGCAGCAATATAATAACATGCAGATCAGTGTCACAGCTGCCAGAGAAATCCCTGGGAGGCCATTTGGAGTTCTGACTTGCCCACAGGAGGAACTCGGGTCTCTCGGGTTTGTAAAACAAGGAGCTGGACTAGACTGGCTATCAACCATTTTTAGATCATGGCCCCCTTTGAAATATCTCAGGAAATCAGATGGTCCTTGGGCCCTCATTGAGTACTGCTGGATTGGATAATCAATGACACCTTCTGCTCAGGATTTTATAATCTAGAAGGTATCTATCCATTCACACGTTTACTTGGAAAGCTAAATTTAGGAAATCTCTGGAAAAGTCCTCTACTGCTATGAAATAACAACACTCACTTTCCCGTATAAAGAGTAGATTTAGGGGCCGGCCCCATGGGCAGTGGTTAAGTTTGCACGCTCTGCTTCGGCGGTCCACGGTTTCGCTGATTCGGATCCTGGGCACGGACACGGCACTGCTCATCGGGCCACGCTGAAGCGGTGTCCCACATGCCACAACTAGAAGGACCCACAACTAAAATATACAGCTATGTACTGGGGGGCTTTGGGGAGAAAAAGGAAAAATTTTTAAAATCTTAAAAAGAAAAAGTAGATTTAGAAGTTGACAATAACTTGAGAAAGGAATATTTAAAGCCAGCAACATCCCTTAGAATATCCCTGGTGACACTGATGGGAAAGAGAATCTTAGACAGGAGCTATCAGTGACACTTTAAGAACTAATGTCAGATCTCAGGCCCCATGGGATTCCCAGCAAACAGGCCTCCTAAAAAGCTGAGAAAGGCTCAGTCTACTTCCATTTTCTGAGGCTGTGAGGATACTAAAACGTAAAATGTCAAACCCAGGTTACGCCAATATTTGTGGTCCTGTCATGGAGAAACTTAAAGCCATATAAGGAATTTCACCTTTCCTTTACATGGATTGCTGGTTTCCAGGCCCTTGATGACTGCAAGGCCAGAGCAGATACCCCACTGGCCCACCTTCTGCAGGCTTAGCCAGCTTGGTCTATGAGGGTGGCCTAGATGCCATGACCTTCGCCAGTTTGTTACTTTTCTTTTGCAAAGTCAGTAAACTGTACAACTAGAAAATTCTGTGTTTGGTCAAAACAGGACCTATGATTTCACTGGAAACATGGAGGTAGAGATCCCAGAGATGAGGGTTAGAAGGTAAAGGCAAATTTACCAAAAACAACGGGTGCTCCTGAATGCCAGAACCTAATTACCTGGGAGTAATCAAACCTTTCTTTCTCAGATTTTCATCATAGGTTTTAAAAGGGCTATCATATTCCATCTTTATATATTGCAAACGTTGGTCACTTTTAAGCTGCTTTCTCAGTATTGAATAATTTCCCCCTTCCCTTATCTAGGAGGGTACGGATTATTTATTAATTCCAAACCATATAACAAGAAATCAGTATGAATATTCTTAGACTGGGAGTATAACTTGAATGCTGACTGGGGACTAGCAAACCAAGCTGTACACTCCTGGGGCATTCGACTCAATCCAATAAATATTAACTTACATATAAGTACGGAGGGAGTTATCAAATTGCCAACTGAGTTAGGGCTTGGAAACAAGATTGGTGTTCTTGCATAAAACACACCCCCATGAATTATCTATGACTTCTGGTTTCATTTATTTAAAGAGGAGCAAGAATTCAATGACACATCAAACAACCTCCAGAAAGGATCATTCTAAATTTTGATGTTCATCCCCTACCAACCTTTTTAGTTGTTTTGTCCACTTTTTTTTTTTTAAATGCAAAATTTACTAGCAACTTCCCTCAACTGACTCTTCAATGCATTCAACTCAGTTCTCACAGAGGTAAACAGCTGTATGTATTAAAAGTCCACCTATTGTATCCAATGTCAAAGTGACAGTGGTTTAAGCAAGAGAACACTTTATTTCTCCCTCATGCACGGCAAAGCATAGTGGTCCAGGGCTCATATGAGATCTCCATAAGGTTGGAGACCCAGGCTCTTTCCATTTTGTTGCTCAGATACTCTCTATATCACACTTTCATCCCATGGTCCAAGAGAGTTACTGCAGC